TGGCTCTTCGAACTGTATTTCAAGCAGTTGGTTGGAAATATGGTCTTGTTATTCCACTGATAAAACTTCTTCGCAGATAGGCGACAAAACTGCTTGAATGTTTTTGAATGAGCACTATTCGATTTTGCGTCTAAACTCGATCAATAATGATTGTCGTTTCTGTTTCAGTTAATAATTGATGTACTTGGATTTCCAAGTGACGAAGATTTAAGAAGTATGCGATGTACAAAGAAACTTTTACAGACGTCAACATTCAAGCATTATGTTAGGAATTTCTTTAACTTTTTCGTAAGCTTTTAACTGATCTTGGGAAACGTTTAGTTCGGATGTGTATTTGATGGAAAATTGCTGGTTTATTCAACAGAAACAACTGATTATTCATGAAAGCAATTTGGAGTCTTGCGAACATAACCACTGTGTGGTTTTAAAACGTTGTGCAAGTCAAAGTAATGAATTGTTCTTATTAGTTTGCACGAGCAATTTTACACGATTAAGTGAACTTCACTTGAACCGTAAATGTGTTCGTCTATTTTCAGACGCACAAACGACCTGTAACAGACGGATTCAAAATGGTGAGTTTGCCATGCTGCCAGGAGAAAACACAAAATGTGTAAATAAACATCAGACGCTAGCAACAGGCATTATAAAACAGTGCAAAATACCGAATGTACTCATCGAATTTGAGCAGTGACGAAGATGATAATAGGAGAAATATGTAAAAATCTTATTACAGTTAACGCATTCAACAGATCAAGCAGCAACAGACCTTCTCGAGAAAGTGCTCGTTTATAGGCCATCAGAGCGTCTCCATGGCCCATCGTTCCTTGCAGATCCATACTTTGATGACCTCTTCAATGTGGAAACAATGCGTAATGGCAAAATGCTTGATACTATTACACAAAAGGTCTCCCTCTATTTGTTTAACAAATTCATGATTCTACATTGAGTACTTTTTCATTCAACTTAAACAGTTCTTCTTCCTAGTCTGTCAGAATTCACAGTGTGCCTTTAATTTGAGGAAATGAATGAATATTTTGCTCACTCGTATAACTCTATAAATCACTGAAGAATTCTTGTCGCATATTTCGACTGTATCCGATATCTGGAAACATACGAAGCAAGAAAATAAAACGAAATGCATTGTTCTAATGCAAATTTTCAAATTTGTTGCATGAAACTGTCTTGATTTCTTTTTTTTTTTTGAAATCGTCCTACAAGCAATGCAAGAGATTTTATGATCAATTGTTTATAGGACAGGGAGGATGCGCTCAATGGTGACAGATTAGACAGTGATAGTGGTTCAGTGCAATTATCAGATTCATTTAATAACACGTAATCAAATTTTCATCTGTTCATTTCCCATTAAAAAATCATTTCTTTTGATTGCAAATCGTTTCCGCTATTTGTTACGCATTTTATGATTTGTTTAAGGAAAGCGAGAATTCCGTTTCCTTTTGACCTCCTCCTAAGTTCCCACCACTTCTCTGCCGATCATGCACTGGATTGTGGTAGCATACAAAATTCAAAGTGTTTACCGATGGTCCACTAAAAAATTCTCATTTTCAGAGAAGACGAATGAAGGCGGTGAACGCACAGAACAATTCCCCAAAGCATTATCCATTTCGTACATCATTTTCAAGCTAATTTCCATTCTATTAAAAAACTTAATATTAGGAAAAGAAATTGAACCGAATTTTCCATTGTGATACATCATCACATCATCGCTATCCTGCTCACTGTAACAACCCCGAAGATTTTTACTTTTGCTCAGAATGGCTGATCTTTAAGAAAATATTTGAAACCAATTCTCAATAGGTCTACCTTCGATGTTGATTTTAATTTGATTTGATTGAGTTGCTATCGAATAAAGAATATGTACAAGAAGTAATGCGAAATACAATGGACTTTAGCATCGCATTGGATGACTCGATAAAAACAGAATAAAAACGCTAGTAACGCTTCGGCATTGATAACACTATGAATAGACTGGACGACTGTAAGATTATTGCGTGAGATGTGATTTGACTAGTGATAATGTGCTCTCCTCAACTGCTTCCTCTTGACTGCGATTATTGAATGGTGATATGATATTGTTATCGGTGAAGACAAATCGATCTTTTGAATGTGAAACCGCACTGAGAGTCTGAGATGAGTGAATATCGATCAGTATGAAGAGGGATTCTTTTCATGCTGACTGATAGTAGTACCTCAGAGGACTGGTAACTACGGTAACTAGCCACGCCCACAAATTAAGGTAGATCGCCACACCCGCATTTTGGCCGCGCCCACCTTCAAATGCGATACGCTCGCTTACAAAATTTTTGTCAAATGCACTTTCAACGAAAGTGCAACAAAGACACAAAGAAGTGTAAAAATCAGAAACGGTTTATGATTTTATGTCTCTAAACGTCAGATCAGAACGGTAAACTTTATCCACGGCTACAAGGCCACCTGGAATACACATTCAAACTTTACTGCACTATTTAGAAACGTATCACACTATAGATCACTGCATACATTAGTATAGCATTATAGAGTTTGCCATCTTCAAGCTATCGATACTCTCAAGTTTGCCCAGTAACATGTGAATTTCTTTGCACCATCAGATTTCTCAGATCCTCTAAATTCAGAATGTCATATATTTTGCCGAGCGATTCTTCTTA